TCTAAAACCAGGTCTAAAACCAGGTCTAAACCAGGTCTAAACCAGGTCTAAACCAGGTCTAAAACCAGGTCTAAACCAGGTCTAAAACCAGGTCTAAATCAGGACTAATACCAGGACTAAAAAAAACCAGGTCTTAAACCAGGTCTAAACCAGGTCTAAACCAGGTCTAAAACCAGGTCTAAACCAGGAGGTCTAAACCAGGTCTAAAACCAGGTCTAAACCAGGTCTAAACCAGGTCTAAAACCAGGTCTAAACCAGGTCTAAACCAGGTCTAAAACCAGGTCTAAAACCAGGTCTAAAACCAGGTCTAAACCAGGTCTAAACCAGGTCTAAAACCAGGTCTTAACCAGGTCTAAAACCAGGTCTAAATCAGGACTAAAACCAGGTCTTAACCAGGTCTAAAACCAGGTCTAAACCAGGACTAAAACCAGGTCTTAACCAGGTCTAAACCAGGTCTAAAACCAGGTCTAAACCAGGTCTAATCCAGGTCTAAACCAGGTCTAAACCAGGTCTAAAACCAGGTCTAAACCAGGTTTAAACCAGGTCTAAAACCAGGTCTAAACCAGGTCTAAACCAGGTCTAAAACCAGGTCTTAACCAGGTCTAAAACCAGGTCTAAAACCACGTCTAAATCAGGACTAATACCAGGACTAAAACCAGGTCTAAACCAGGTCTAAAACCAGGTCTAAACCAGGTCTAAACCAGGTCTAAGCCAGGTCTAAAACCAGGTCTTAAACCAGGTCTAAAACCAGGTCTAAAACCAGGTCTAAAACCAGGTCTAAACCAGGTCTAAACCAGGTCTAAGCCAGGTCTAAAACCAGGTCTTAACCAGGTCTAAAACCAGGTCTAAACCAGGTCTGAACCAGGTCTAAACCAGGTCTAAAACCAGGTCTAAATCAGGACTAATACCAGGTCTAAACCAGGTCTAAACCAGGTCTAAAACCAGGTCTAAATCAGGACTAATACCAGGTCTAAAACCAGGTCTAAAACCAGGTCTAAAACCAGGTCTAAAACCAGGTCTAAACCAGGTCTAAAACCAGGTCTAAAACCAGGTCTAAAACCAGGTCTAAACCAGGTCTAAACCAGGTCTAAAACCAGGTCTAAACCAGGTCTAAACCAGGTCTAAGCCAGGTCTAAAACCAGGTCTTAACCAGGTCTAAAACCAGGTCTAAATCAGGACTAATACCAGGTCTTAACCAGGTCTAAACCAGGTCTAAAACCAGGTCTAAATCAGGTCTAAATCCAGGTCTAAACCAGGTCTAAACCAGGTCTAAACCAGGTCTAAACCAGGTCTAAAACCAGGTCTAAACCAGGTCTAAACCAGGTCTAAAACCAGGTCTAAAACCAGGTCTAAACCAGGTTTAAACCAGGTCTAAAACCAGGTCTAAACCAGGTCTAAACCAGGTCTAAAACCAGGTCTTAACCAGGTCTAAAACCACGTCTAAAACCACGTCTAAATCAGGACTAATACCAGGACTAAAACCAGGTCTAAACCAGGTCTAAAACCAGGTCTAAACCAGGTCTAAACCAGGTCTAAGCCAGGTCTAAAACCAGGTCTTAACCAGGTCTAAAACCAGGTCTAAAACCAGGTCTAAATCAGGACTAATACCAGGACTAAAACCAGGTCTAAACCAGGTCTAAAACCAGGTCTAAACCAGGTCTTAACCAGGTCTAAACCAGGTCTAAAACCAGGTCTAAACCAGGTCTAAACCAGGTCTAAGCCAGGTCTAAAACCAGGTCTTAACCAGGTCTAAAACCAGGTCTAAATCAGGACTAATACCAGGACTAAAACCAGGTCTTAACCAGGTCTTAACCAGGTCTAAAACCAGGTCTAAACCAGGTCTAAAACCAGGTCTTAACCAGGTCTAAAACCACGTCTAAAACCACGTCTAAATCAGGACTAATACCAGGACTAAAACCAGGTCTAAACCAGGTCTAAAACCAGGTCTAAACCAGGTCTAAACCAGGTCTAAGCCAGGTCTAAAACCAGGTCTTAACCAGGTCTAAAACCAGGTCTAAAACCAGGTCTAAATCAGGACTAATACCAGGACTAAAACCAGGTCTAAACCAGGTCTAAAACCAGGTCTAAAACCAGGTCTTAAACCAGGTCTAAACCAGGTCTAAAACCAGGTCTAAACCAGGTCTAAACCAGGTCTAAGCCAGGTCTAAAACCAGGTCTTAACCAGGTCTAAAACCAGGTCTAAATCAGGACTAATACCAGGACTAAAACCAGGTCTTAACCAGGTCTAAACCAGGTCTAAACCAGGTCTAAAACCAGGTCTAAACCAGGTCTAAAACCAGGTCTAAACCAGGTCTAAACCAGGTCTAAGCCAGGTCTAAAACCAGGTCTTAACCAGGTCTAAAACCAGGTCTAAACCAGGTCTAAACCAGGTCTAAAACCAGGTCTAAACCAGGTCTTAACCAGGTCTAAGCCAGGTCTAAAACCAGGTCTTAACCAGGTCTAAAACCAGGTCTAAATCAGGACTAATACCAGGACTAAAACCAGGTCTTAACCAGGTCTTAACCAGGTCTAAAACCAGGTCTAAACCAGGACTAAAACAGCATTTAACAGGACTAAACCAGGTCTGAACCAGGTCTAAACCAGGTCTAAATCAGGACTAATACCAGGTCTAAACCAGGACTAAAACAGCATTTAACAGGACTAAACCAGCATTAAACCATGCTGTGAGGACCGTGTCTCCTCCTCTTCTATCAATAATATTTTTAATTTGTGAAAGTAAAGTCTGTGCATCTTATGTGAAGATTTCCTCGTCTTTGCTTCTCTACAGCAAATCAAGTAATCCAAAGTATTCAGATTATGTTACTCACTTTTAAGTAATTTAATGGATTACGTTACAAACTACATTTTGGGGTATGTAATCTGTAATCTGTAAGGGATTACATTTTAAAAGTCACCTTCCCAACGCTGACCAGAAATAATAAATCAACTTTAAAGGCGACTGCTAAAGCCTTATATTTATAAAAAGTATTGAGTAATGAAGCGTCTCTGACCTCACTTTATCAGGTTGTTTTTTCAGATCAAGAGTTTGTTTTCATCCTGACAGTTTGTTCTGCTCCCTGTGTTCTTCCTCAGAGTCTCGGGATGTTTCTGTGACGTGTTGCTCAGATGATTTAAACAGATTTTGGCACCTGGTTCTGTCCATGTGATGTTTGCTCAGGCAGAGGACAGAAGAAAACAAACACCATCACTGGATTAAAGAGGCAATCCAAATACAGAAACATACCCATGGGATGATGAACCGGAACAAGGGGAATTTTTACTCTCACACACCCGGGATACTGTCCTGAGGAAGTGGGACTGCAGGTGGCGCTCTCGTCCTGCTGCCACTGAAACACAGCACCAAAACCTGTTTAAATCATCTGAGCAACACGTCACAGAAACATCCCGAGACTCTGAGGAAGAACACAGGGAGCAGAACAAACTGTCAGGATGAAAACAAACTCTTGATCTGAAAAAACAACCTGATAAAGTGAGGTCAGAGACGCTTCATTACTCAATACTTTTTATAAATATAAGGCTTTAGCAGTCGCCTTTAAAGTTGATTTATTATTTCTGGTCAGCGTTGGGAAGGTGACTTTTAAAATGTAATCCCTTACAGATTACAGATTACATACCCCAAAATGTAGTTTGTAACGTAATCCATTAAATTATGTGAGGGATGAAAACAAACTCGTGGTCTGAAAAAAGAAACTAATAACGTACATTTTCAGAAGACTACATGAACCTCATGGACTGTCTTACCTCTCCGATGGCCCGCACAGCTCCCAGCACACAGGCAGATCAGAAAATGAGTTTTTGCCCCAAAAAATGAGTACACGTTAAATTTGTGTCGTCCACAAGAGCTGATATTCAAAGACTAACTGGACAAGTGATTAAAACAGCTTGGAACATCTTAAGTTTGACACAGACATTTGTGCAGATGAGCCAAATATCGTCATTGTCCTTTTAGTAAATAAATACTAAATCATCATTTGGAATCCCACGATGCACTTGGCTCAACAGAAGCTCGTGTGGTGAAGGTCTGGAATATAAAGCAGCCTTGAACTGCATATGACACATTTTTATGATTCTCTAATTCTGACTTCATTTGGTGGGATTATAACGGTTGTAAATACAAAATAGTTTTACACGAATCAAAAAGTAATTGGTAACACTTTATAATAACTACACCTTATTTAGCCTTAATAAAGGATGAACAAAAGCTTAATTAATAATGAACAAAAACTTAATAATGATTCACGCTTAGTAACTACTTAATTACTACCTTAATTTGCACTTGCACTTAATTTGCCTGTGCTGTAAATAGTTACTCATAATTATTTCATACTTAATTACTCATGAACTAACCATTTGAGCATTTATTAATCATTAGTAAACTATGAGAAAATGATTTACTAATAATGCAATGTAATGATAATTCAGGCAGCTGTTATCTGTTAGTTAAGTCTTTTTGAGAGCTTTTCTAAAGTGAAGACTAATTATCCTTTATTAAGCATTTACTAAGCATGAATCATTATTAATTAAATCTTTGTTCATTATTCATTAAGTCTTTGTTCATGCTTTATTAAGGCTAAATAAGGTGTAGTTTTTATTAAGTGTTACCAAGTAATTTACAAAGAAAAGTTGAAAAATATGTTGAACATGACAGAAAATGGAGAGCTCTAAAAGATGGATGACGTCAGACTGGAGAAATTCTGTCCAAAAGTTCAGCACAATTTAATAAAATAAACTGAAATAAAGGTGCTCTCTCTCATTTCTGTGTACATTACAGTTCTTCTGTGTAACACTAATAGAATTCTCTAGTTTGAGGTCACGATTTCTAACCTGGAAGTCAAATTTTAAACCTAAAAAATGGCCAAAATGATCCTGAATCTGTCATAGTGTTCGCTGAGTGTGTATAGAGTGCGGTTTTCTCTCCTCAGTCCACCTCTCACCCGTCCCAACCGCCACCTGCATTATTAAGAAAAGGTCAAAGCTGCTTTAAAGTTTTCCAGAGTTTTTATTTCAAGACAGAACAGACTTTGCATAACAGCAGTAGAGCAGCGGCGGAGCTCTGACAGTGAAATCTCCTTAGTGCAAACGCGTCATCCACAAAAGTTTAGGCACAAGTTCAGCTACGACTAAGTGCTCACGTCATTCACAACATCCTGTACGCCTATGGATCACCATGATTATGAAGAAATCCTGTTTGCTCGTGTGGTCATTCTGGAGAGATGTGAAGCTGAGAGTGGCATCTGAAAGTCCTACAGTGAATACTTAAGCCTGTTTGACTAAGTGCGACTGACTCCTGCCCAAACATTAACACTATTATTTCAAAAATACATTAACGCACAAGCCCTGTTTCCACTTTATTCGGTTTAGATCACAGTTTAGATCACGGTTTAGTAGCGGTTTATTCGCCAATATGGATCAAAATAAAACAAAATGCAAAACTACACTACACACTTTTGATTGAACATACAGCTTTTGGGAATTTCACTGATGATTCCTGGTCTGATTTTGAGACCAATTACTATTTTTTAATCATCAATTAGGCCTCTACAACATACAAATAAAATGTCAATAAAGTGTCTTGCTCAAGGGCAGCTGTATAGTAAAGCACAATACAAGTAGCAGGGATTTGAACCACCACCTGATTGAGCTCACGCTGCACTTGTGTTTTTGTTTTGATTTTTCACCGCCATTTTTGTAGTTTTTGTTAACTTCACACGTTATTTTAAAACAGTATTCCTACAGATAAGACGCTGTAACACTTATATTCTAAAACAAAAAATATTAAACTCAACAGAAGAAGTCCAGATTAGTTACTTCAAAAAGTGACCTCACTAAACGATTATTGATAAGTTTGGATGTTATATTTTAATAAAGTGAACTCCAATGTCGTGGAAACAGGGCTGGTTTACATTTCTGAGTTTATGGTCCCAAACTACAATCACACTTGAGAAAATATGAGGCTTGGTTCAGACAGTTTACAGCGAGTTTGAGTGAGGCGTTTGTCAAAAGAGGAGGATGATTTATTTTTATTTTTTTTATATAGGGTTAATAAAGTTAAAGTTATAAATGAAGACTCGGGATTGTGCCACAAGATCGTGCACACAAGAGGAAAATGATCTCGTGAGAGTGTTTAAATTTGGATTGGACAAAATAGGTTTACTTCTTGGAGAGTTACATTTCTTACAGTTCCCTATGAAACACTCTGAAATCAAATGTGAGGACAAAATTGGAAACTGAATTGTGAATTGTAAATATTAGTAGAATTCTGTTAAAATCTCGTCTTGTCTTGTTCTCGTGGACCCAATCTCGTCCCGTCCTTAATGAAGACTGCAATGATCCAAAACAGATCCAAAAGATTACGTCCAGTACCAGACCATATCCAGACTTTGTGCATCTGCTGGTAGAAGGCCCATGAAGCAGTGGATTTATACTGAAAACTATTTGAATAATAAAAAGAAATTTGGGTGTCAAAAAAAAGCTGGAAAGGTCCCACTATCTTGAGATCAAGTAAGTCTCCTCTGTACTGTCTGCATCTAATTATTATGTGTGTGTTTTACTGTCCGATAATCAGGAAGTGCCCATTAGCATGCAAAACCCCACACTGGCTGCAAAAAGTGTTTATAAACTCAACGTGGTGAGTAATTCGGATGCTCTGAATGCATAAGGCAAGTGAGGAAGAACTGGATCTAAAATGTTGTGTTTTTTTTTAAAGTTTTTAAATTAAAATCCCGTAGAGCGCCTTTAAGTCTGAGCTTTGAAAACTTGATGGTGACGACAACTTTTCTGTCTTGGTAAAATAAATAAATAATAGAGGAAGCAGAAACGAATTAAAAAGCAAAGCCAAACCTGGGATCAATGGTCAGTAAAATAATATTCTGAAATGTAGGTACGTACATAAGCCAAGATTTTTGTTTTGATATGAGATGGAATGGTTCTGATTGGTTAATCCACCTGTCAATCACAAGAGAACAGGAAGAGAATCTTAACAGACGGTGCTGCAAGATTAATTGCAATTGAATCAAAACTGCAATTTGAATGACAAAAACTAGAAAATTCTAAAGACTGTAATTTATTTTTTTGGCAACTGTATTTTTTTTTAAAGAGACAACAAAATCTTCAGTTTTATTCTGCATAGATTCAGTTTAGATCTGTACAAACATGTTCTGAAAGGTGATTCTTCTATTATTTTGTCATATTGTGGTATTTTTGTATTTTGGAAACATGTGGATGATGACTTCCTTTGGGCTCTGTTGGTGATAGGAACTCTGACAAATCTGGGAAAACAGAGAAAATGTCCTGGTTTTCTTCATCTAGATGTATTGTGTTCCTTTTTTTCTTTTATAAATTGCCGATTCATTTGTGTATTATAATTTGTAAGTGTTCTGTTATGTTGGGCAGATCAAAAGTTCTAATCAACTGTAAGTGACACTGAAGCTGCGATTCGAGTCCAGTCCCCCATGAAAATCTTTGTCAGGTTGTGAAGACGCTGCTGCTGAATGGTTTTATCATGGGTTTTATCATGGGTTTTATCACTTGCCCAGTGTCAGGAACTACACCGGAAGTAATCATACGCATCCACGTTTTCCAGTAACCGTCTGTAGAGCCTATAGAATCGAAATTACAATTTGAATGGCGACAATTTGCAAATTCCCAAGACTGACATTTTTTTTGGCACCATAATTTTCTCGACAAACACAATCTCCCGTTTCATTCCACATAAAAACAGCTCAGTGTAGTTTAGGTCTGTACAAACATGCTCTGAAGTGTGATTCTTTTTTTATTTTGTCAGCCAAATTTTGGTATTTTTGTCAATTTTTCCAGACAAATTATGTTTTTTTTTTTTTTTCAGTTTCAGTTCAGCCCTCTATGAGCACTCCAAACACATATCCTCCAGTTTATTATATTATGGAAATTGAATAAGTTTTATGTTGGAAAATATTCTTAAAATGTATAAAATAAAATGTAGCTTTTCTATTGGAGATTAAATTTCTACCCTAATTTGGGGGCAGAATCTTAAGGCTTAAATTATGATTTGCTTTCCAGTTCCTCCGTACCTGGATTAAACTTATTTGAATGTTCAAAATTTAAAAAATAGCTATTAAATAGAAATTAAAAAGGCAAAATGCTTCCTGGATTAGCGGTTGCCTGTCACCTCATTCAAACTCGCTCCAAAACGCCGAAGTTTCCGCCTCGTATGGCAACTTGACATCTCTAACATTGAAAAAATAATCCTAGCTCAAAATAATTTGAAATATGTAGCAACGTTTTACAAATACAAAATAAATATTACCTCTGGCGTAATCTAGGCATTATCACAAAATATGTAAAGAGCATTTTTCCTCGTTTTTCTACTCCACTAAAGCTCCGTTCTCGCTATCAGGACGCTAGCACCCCGCGGCGGATAAAATCGTAGCGGCGGGTTAACGTAGCCTCGTTTCCGTTGCAGCGTTTCAAATCCGAGTCTGTGTCAAGTCGCTGTTTGGAGTTCGTTAGCGGTTTTAGCATAGCCTTTCGCTGCTTGTTCAAATCCTCGTTCTCGAATTTCCGTTTGGGGATCCTGAATTTCCCCCAGCTCCTCCCGTTGGCTGTCCCGTTAGTGTGATGCTTCTTCGACAATCCGTTTGGAACCATGGGGTTAGCCTTTAGCCGCAGGTTAGGGTCGTTCGCTTCCCAGTTTCCGTACATTACATAACTATCAGAATCCTTATGGCGAATATCTACTAAGTGTATGGACAACTGCCGGTCTTTGAAGCCATTTTGTGTGGATTTTTTGCGTTTTTCTTGCTTTTTGAGATTGCGTTTATGCCTCAAAGCTTCACCATCTTCACTTCTTTTGCTTTCAACTTTCACAGCGACTTCTTGCTCAAATTGTTCTACATTTTGTGGTTGGATTTCCTCATTTTGCAGTTCAAATTTGGCCTCTAGAGCCTCACACGTAATGTCATTATGAGGCTGGCCGTCGGTTTGGAGTGATGGTTTTTGAGATGGACTTGAATGGGTTAAGTCTCGGTGTTCGCGGGATTTTCTTCGCTTTTTCTTCTTGTGGTGTTTGGATTTCCGTGACTTGGAGGAGGAGGAGTGGTTCAGGGGAGTCTGAGACGTGACCAGGCCCAGGGACAGGAGCCGCTCCAAGTCTTTGGCCGATGGGTCGCCTGAGGAAACAAGAAACATGAGGTGAATTATTACTCCTGTACCACTAAAAATTGAAAATTTAAACATCAACTTAAAAGATATAAAGACAACAGAGAAAGTCTGAACACAAATGCCCCCAAAAAGAAAATGATATTCTGACAACGGTAATCGAGCAGCAGGAAGAAAGTTTGGAGTGAGTGAGAAACTTTGAGGGACTGGCAAAAAGTGGAGGATACACGAACTGCAATGAAGAAAACAAAAAAATCTCATTGCGGGCTAAAAGCTCGATGGTCACAGCTACAGGAACAAGTTCACAATGGGTGCTTGAACAACGTGCTGCAGGGGGAGGTTTGTCAATGATGCAGTTACGTCTCCATGCTCAGCTCTGACCACAAACAACGATGTCCCAAAACTTGCCAGCGACTTCCAAGCCAAGGCCAACAGTTTGAAGTGTTGAAATATCTGTTCTTGTTCTGATTTTATAAAATTTATTTCCCCCAAAAAGTGCCACTTGTTGTTTGTTTTTTTTCTTCTTCATTATGCAGTTTGTGGCTGGTGTGTCCGGAAAATATGGTACTTGCAATCACAGACTAGGGATGGGCATTCAATTTTCTTGATTGTCGGGAGCATTAGTGATCAATTAACGTTTTTATATTTAAATTATTATCATTATTACTATTACTAATCTGCATAAATAACCTCAACTTTACAACTAATAAACCATAACCACTATAAAGCCACATCAGCCCGCTGACATTATAATGTGTTTAATGCAGCTTTGGCACATTTGTTTATGTTTTACACAAACTAAACTTAAAACCGCATGATTCATTTGCATAAACGATAAATGCTGGAAAAAGCAGCTTTCCTTGTGCGCTGATGTCAGCTTCTGTCAGCTTCTGTCAGCCTAAATGACACAACTCAGTGGAATATGAATGTTCTTTGTGTGAGGGTATGTCTGCTAATGGTGAGTCTGTTCTGAGCTTCTATTGTGTTGGAGATGGTTCATGTTTTCAGAGATTGTACGTGTGCAGTTTTAGAGCAGCTCTTTATTTAACAATCATTTCACTTTATTTATTTTGGTCACTTTATTTATGTTGGTTATTGTTGTGATGAAAAGACTGAAAAGTGTTTGTCTTTGGATGCATGTGCACTCAACTTTATGTTGCAGTAACTGGGATACTGTGTTTACATGCACCATGACGAAACCAGGATACTCAAAAAAATCCCTGATCATACCTGAGACACTGATGTGCTGTAAACACACTCACTGAGTGGAACAGTGTCTCCAAGGCTGTGCCAGAGCCCAAACATGGGACTGTGAGGCTGAGTCTCCAGTGTTTCGCTGTCAGATGCAGCCTTGTTTCCTTACGCCACGCACAGCAACATACATTCGGTTTGTCTAGTAAAAATAATGTGATCAACAAAATTCTTAACGATCAGTTATGGATTAGTCAACTAGTCGCCCATCCCCATCATAGACTGTATAGAACTGGACTGAGGGAGGGTGATGTCAGGCTAGAAGCTATAGCAGCTAATCTGCAACCAAGTTCTATTGAAAATCCTACACACACAGTCTGTTTGTAATACACAATGGCCCCACTGAAGTCTAGAAATGTCTGAAGCACTGGGCTCATGTCATCTGTTAACAGACTACTGACCACCAGCAGCTTCAACCAACAATCAAAATGAAACCATGTGTTCCTATGCTCAGTCTCCAGTGTTAGTGTGACTGACCTGAGAGCAGTTTGTGGTCCAGCAGTCGGACCTGGTGCTGAAAGATCTGCTCCTGGATCCTCCACATGGAGCGCTTCATCTTCTCCCTCCGGGTCACCATGTAGGTCAGGTTACGCACCTGAGGACACAGGCGTCAGTGTGGAGGATTTGATACATTTACATTATGTCTCAAAATGAGAAAAATTATTTATCAAAACGTCATGAAGGACCATGCAACAAAATGGTGCCATTCAAAATTTAACTGGACACATTTTTGGACACTGTGTTCAATTTAGAATGTGAAAAGGAGAAAGAACTATTATAAATGGCAAGAATAAGACCACTTTTTTTTTTTAATGATGGAAAATTAAATTTCCAAAGATTCCAAAGTATTGAATTTGTATTAGCCTATGCAGATGTGGGTGTATTAAGCTTTTTTCTGTTTGTTTTTTGTGATAACAAGACTCCAATAATCCAATTGTTGCTGTCTTTCGTCTACCAAAACAGGAAGTGAATTTCTTGGTTGAAGTTCTTCTCACAAAAGTGTTCATTAAAGTGCAGAAATATGACCTTACAGTCTGGTTTGGACGATTCCACTGCTATACTGCAACTACCTTGTCAAGTACTATTTCAAGTCATTTTTCTCATTATAGCCTATATTCACACCATATTATAATTTTGAATATTTTGAGCCTGCTAGCATCAATTGTCCAAATCATTTTTCAATGTCTTTGAGGAACAAGGAAAAAAAAAACTCCCTATGTCTGCCTGTCAAGAAAATGAGACCTACTAATGCAGCAGGGTCTGGTGAAAAGAAGGAATGAAAGATTTTGGAATAGAACATTAACAGTATATTTCCTTCCTCTAATTCACAAACAACCTCCACTCTCCATGTATCACACTTTATTTACTTCTCTGGCTCAATAGCGCCCTCTTGTGGCGACCTACCCGCTCCAGGTCCTGCCTCAGATGCGTAAACAGCTGGAGCCTTCTCCTCAGCACTTCCTGTTCACGTCGTGCCAAACTGTCTTCTTCATCTTTTTTGGGCGTCACCAGTGGCCGGTTGAAGTTCGCCTTTCGCTTCAGCTTCCAGTACTGAAACAGGAAGTCCACCGTTTCCCTGGCGATTTTCAAATACGACGCCACCTCCTCTGGGTCCACGAATTTATAAAACTCATCCTCCATCTCTTGTAGTTTCAGTTTTCGTTGATTCACTCTCTTTTCAGCTTCGGCGACGCTCTCCTCGTCTCTTTTGTTGGTGCGTTTGGGGTTCTTGGGGCTTTGGTTCTCTCCGGCTGGGTCTTGTGTATCTTCGGACCCCTCCAGACCTGAGTGTTTGGGGCAGAATGCTTTAAATTTGACCTCCTCCTCTTCGGTGAGAATGGTGTTCATCTCGAGGCCGGCGTGTTGGCAGCAGGTCACGTGGAAGGCAGAGCGGCAGTTCTTGGCAGAGCACTGGAAAGGAGACAGGAAAATGTATGAGTTAAAAAGTGCACTGCCTTTGCCTTTGCCTTCACCTTCTTGTCTCCATGGAGATGTCTAGAATGTTCCATGGTAGAGATTAAACCCATCTGCCTCACAGGAAACAACTATAGGCTACATTACAGGTCAGATCTGTGGAGATACAACCCTGTTCACAAAGAGAATTGTTGTATTTTTGAGCAATAGGAACACAGATAATGGAGAAATGCTAGATAGACGTGTTTAATGTCATACCATGGAACATTGCAGCCAAAGCAATAACATCTCCATGGAGACAAGGCGGCCTCCAGCAGAAAAGTTACACAATGCATCTTTAAATAAAGGTTTGGGGTGGGCAAAAGATAAATTAAGATTTTTTTAGGACAAATATTATACATTTCTGTACCGTTATTTGCCTTTAAACATGCTTCTTGAGTACAGTTGCTTGAAAATTGCATTGTGTGCTTTTCTCCATGGAGATGTTATTACTTTGTCTGGAATATTTCACAGTATGGCATTAAACCTTCATGGAGACCAAACCAGACCAGGTTACAAGTCAGATCTGAATAAATATTAAGAAGAGATGTGTAATGTCACACTCCATAGAAACAAGCAGATGACCCCCAACCAAAAAGTTACATAGTACACCTTTAACTACTACCTATGTCTAGAACCAGACACTACTCCATCAATCTGCACTCACACATCTGGGTTTAGTGTTAACACAAATCTACCAGTGGGAAAGGTGGGAATGACTTAAAAAAGACATTAAACAATATAGTGCAGCAAACCAAAAAAAAAACAAAAAACAGGTGTAACAATATTGATTTCCTTTGTTTTTTAGCTGTTGCTGCACCAAAACAATGAATCTAATCAGAGACTTTGATAGTTCGATATAGTGTGATAACCCCACAATATTATTATGAGATTATGGCAGTAAGTTATCACAACATTTCGATTATTGTTACATCCATACTATTAAACATACACTTATAATTAACGTGAGTTTAGTTATACACTTAAAAACTACAAGAGACCCAATTTAAACTAGAATTTGAAAGGCTCAAAGGGACAGGACCTCAATAAGTGTGAATAAATGTGAATGAAGCAAAATACACCTCTAGGTATGTTTTTGAAGAGGGATTATAACTTTTGCATATTGTGTGTGTCATTTAAATAAATTATTGATAGAAAAATAATAATCAACCACCAAAAAATCCATAAGACTTCCTCACCTGGATGCAGGCCCCAGTCTTCTCTTTGCAGATGCAGCAGATCAGAGCCCATCTGTTACTGGGGATGTGAGACACGTTTGTGATCGGCTCCATCTTCTCTGGGTTCCCAATGCTCACCTGGAGCCACAGGAAAACAAAACATTATTCAAAAAAGAAAATACACTGTACTAAACACTCTAAGCTTTCTAAATAAAAGCCTCAATTGGTTGCATTGACTAAAGGAGGAAAACTGGATCAATATCAGCAAATCTGTCTGTGGTCTGGGCCCGTCTGTGCTCTGGGCCCGTCTGTGACTAAAACGGTCAACTAAAAGCTTGACCGGTGCATCCATTAGTCGATTGAAGAGGGGCATCGCTTTAGCAAAAACTCTCAATGATCCAACCAAATATTTGACCCAAACCGCACTATCAAAACAAGTACATTGCATATTTGTATGAAAAAGAGCTAAATAAATTCAGTCAATTCATCCTAAAATCTCCAGAGTTCCCTTCACCCCCTCTCTTTCTGCTGTTGTCCACATTCATTTTATCCTAATCTAATCCTAATCAAAATGTTCACTATTACAGATTTAGCTCGACTAACCCTCCATCGACCAATTGACCAGTACCAGGGTGGATGGAGTCACTCCCTGTTTAAGTCTCACCTCAGGTATCCACAGGGCACAGCTCACATGCACCCACTTGGTGCCGCTCCTCGTGGGCTTCATGGCGCCTCCGTTCTTTGGGCAGAGCTGGCACTTCGGGAGGATGCCCAGGGCACAGATCCGACACAGCCAGCTCCCAGTGGGCACCTTCTGGATCCCGTAACAGGCCTAAGGAGGAGAGAAGGTCTGGATCAGGGACACTGAGAGAAGCAGTGCACTCTGACATCTGCTATGGTACTGTTGACTTTTCAGAGTTCTCAGGCTTTAGTAGAAATTGTTTTCCATAATTTTGTTTAATTTCAGGCAAATAAACAACATCTCCATGGAGACATGCAAGTAAGTAAGTGCATCTTTAACATAATATGGCCCATCATAGAATTAATGACTAGTGTTTTTCATACCTGTAAAGTATTGCTGGCCAATATGTTTCACTTAGAAAAATGGTCACTGGGATCATCTTGCTTTGGGGTTCTTGTGTCCATGATATTAAGTAGTTTCAATATTATCGCGATACTTTTCTACAGCAGTAAAATTGTACTTAAGCACGTGTTCTAGTGCCAGACTCCAGCTCAGTACAGACCTGGTGAACACAGATGTTGCACTTGTCACAGAACACCATCTCGTTGTTCTCTTCTCCGTCGGGCGAGCGGCACACGTCACACACCACATCCTCATCAAACTCGATGCCCAGCCCCTCCTGCGTCTCCACGGCGACCGCCATGTTCTCGTGGCAACGCCGCTCCAGCTCCTCTAGCACACGCTCCATCGAGGCCTCGTCCACCCGCGGTAACGCTAATGCAAGACGAAGAAGTTAAGTTCAGCCAAAACAGATTTCATTATTCGGAAGTATCAACTCCAGCTGTATAAAATATTTTGGAAACTTTTTCAACGCATTTGTTTTAAATTCCCATGGTTATGTTGCTTTAGGGTGATTGTGTCAGTGGCTTTAAGTACTTCCAACATTTTCACTAATTGTCATATTTTGTGTGGCAATAAAAAAGCTAAATTTGTTCTTGTGACAGGTGTAATTTCAGGCTGTACCTGATTTTTTCATGTAATAAATTACATTTTGATTTGCCCCAGTACAGATATAACTTAAGAGCATCTCTGAGGGTGAAAATAAGACCACACCGCAAAGCAGAAAGAGCATGCCAGTTCTTCATAGCATTAATGTGGGAGCCAAGCTGTGATGAGATGGCAAAGGTTGTGAAAAGCACTTACAAACTAATCAGTGAAAAATTAAGACGCTCAGAGTGCACAGGATAAGTGAGGAATATGGTTGGACAAGTGCAAACTGTTTTAAAAAGAACTAGTTCTGTTTTTCTTGTTTTAAAAAAGGTAGAAATCAGGTACAGCACGTTTAAGCATAAACAGAAGTCTGGTCATTTGAGCCTCTTTAGTTTAAACCTCCAGACCGTATAAAGTGGACTAGAGGAGTGGGACGTCACTCACAGTCACGTCACTAACTGAGGCTACAAGTTATATGAGTAAATTTGGAGCCAAGTTTCATATCAGTAACAGGAATTGATTTATGGACAAAATAGATAAAAAAACAAAAACCTGAAATATGAACCTTTTAAGACCAAAATGATGAGGCTCACAGTAGTTACAGAGAGTGGACAACTTCTCAACGTAAAATCAACTGGAGCCAGAGCTGAAGAAGCCGGAAGTGCGCCCATGTTCACTTGGAAATTGCCAGTTAGCAGGTTAGCTATGTCCATTTCCAATCCATTTTAAACCATGACCCCCTCTCACCCATGTCGCTGAACTCCTCGTTGGCCTCATGCAGCCAGGCCACGTCCTCCTCGTCCAGGTCGTATCGACAGGTGCCCTCTGCCAGAGTCCTGATGTCCACATAGCCCAGAGCCTCTGAGCCCGAGGTCCGGATCAGCTTCTTAGGACGCACAAACATCACCTCCCTCCCCTTCTCCGACAGCACTCTGGAACAACAGGGGCAAGATCAGACTCAACGCTTTGTGAAAGGTCTTATATTATTTAAAATGGACTCCTGTGAGCTTGAAGCCATGTTAGAATGTTGTTCCATCCTCAAAATAAATGCCTAAAGTTGTGTTTTGTTTCATTCACATTTGAGTAACCCTTATTAGTCTGTCTACATCTCCAAAGCTCAAAATGCTCTGTTCCACCTTGTGATGTCATGAAACTGTAGTGAACAGCTCCTTTTATCTTTTGTTCAATATAGATAAGCAATAAGCATATGGGCTGAAATCATCCAAATGATTCTAGTGAAGGTGTATGGAGTTTAAAAACACAGTGGCACATTTCCTGTATTTCCACATGACATTCCAAGATGGAACACAGTGATAAGAGCTCAGTCTAAATGTGCAGAGTTTGTGTGTTAAACATGTGTGAATGAAACAAAACACAACTCCAGGTCTGTTTGTGATGAGGAAACGACATTAGAACAGATCAGGAACAGTTTTTAACATTACATATCATTGTATTTCCTGTTTACCTGACGATGGGCTGTGGGATGGAGTGAGGGCTGACGGGGACCTGGACTCCCTTCTCCCACTCCTGCCTCCAGGGGTCAGCCAGGAAGTAGAAGTCCTCTGGGTTCAGGGCGTATGAATCTGGCACCTTCATGGCTGTGATCAGGTCTGTCCTAAACACCTTACAATATAGAGCAACAAATAGTTTAATCAATGACCAACAGAGAAGTACCTACAGGTTTGGAATTGGGACTAGGCCTGCACAATACACTGGCAAAATATAAAAACTGAAATAGTGACTGACGCAATAATAGAGATCACAAGAAACTATATAGCAACAGTTTTTCCATTTTCCTGACAAATGACAGATTTCATTCACAATTTTCAGGGATTGGTTTTGGATTTTTATTTTGACTCGGGTTGACTTGTAAATGAAGACATGTGCATTTTTGGTTGCAATTTAATTCGACTTATTGTGCCAAAACGTACATACAAATTTAATTATCATTAAACTATATTATCGACTATTGCAGCTTTTTTCTCATATGTAGCAGCTATAATTGGAACATGAATAATGCTTAATTAAAGCCAGTAGGAATAGGAAATAATTACAAAAATAAATCAATATTTTTGGGGGGATGTTGATAACATTCAAACAAACTCATGTAAATGCATTAGTTGAAGTTAAAGTATCAGACAAATGTGAATTGACGCACAAAAAGCAGAAACTCTTCAGCTGATAACTTCCAAATAAGGTCATAAAGGGATGTGAAGTTTTTATTATGAATGCTTCACTCAATATTCAAATTGTTCCATATCTTCAAACCTACACTCACTAAATTATCCACATTTCTATGACCGACTCTGTTCTACCACTGCGTAACTTTTCAGACAGAATATACACTACATTAAAATCATTTGTTTTATTTTTAGTCGTTTCATTGTTTCAAAATCCTTGGATGAAAATGCATCTATTCCTTACTGTGAGCGAGCGTATCCATCTTCAAGAATACAGGGGATGTAACAAGAATCGAAATATCGTGATATCGTATCATCAAAAAGTCTCTCAATTCCATTGACTGTGTTCCACGATATTATTTTTGTCCATTTTTCACTTTAAAAGGATTAAAAAAAGAGGGAACTGCATAGGCCATGATCCTTTACTTAATTTACTATGTAATAAAATATCTGTTATTAAGCACTTTTAAATCTTATTTTCTTTGATTCACACTAAAGACTGGTCAAGGTATTTGAAAAGGGAAAAATAACATGTACAATTCTATTAACCTCTCCAAAATATTACAATAATTATCGTACTGTGACGCATATCGTAAAAATATTTTACTGTGACATTTGGATATCGTTACACCTCTAATGGATACTGTTCCATGGATAATGTTTATTTACAGATAATTTTTGTTCTATTCATGTATGTGTCCTCTTCCTTTGGGTTAATTAATAGTTAAGTAGCATCTCCAGAGTTGAATCTCATTTTCATTCAGGTTTAATCCAACATTAGCCCATGTTAAGACCTAATGCGTTCCTCATATAGACCGGGTTTGGATCTGGTAATACTGGAAATACAAATATAAACTTTTTAGGTGGTTCAGTACAGTACAGTAGCAGATATTGTCCGTTTTAATTGGAAAGTATCACTACATTATGATATATTTTTTTTTACCTTTCTAATTACTGTAATGCAAAACACATGTAATAAATGTGGTTAAGAGCTCAAATTACTCTTAACACAGCAACTTGAAGCTGATAGTTAGAAATTATCTTAACTCTCTTCACGTGAGAGAGGGGGCTTCTTCTTGTTTACGTCTGGTCCGACTCAAATCAACCAATCATGTATCGAGTGGTTTTGTTTTGCTTTAATTTGATTGGCTGAAATGGAGCAGCAGGGCGTCGTCAAAGAGCTCCGGACCCGCCCTCTCACTGCAGACACGAGATAACACAGACTTTATCACAGTCAGATTCAACTTTGGACCTGTATTTAGCGTCTCAAATCATTCGTTTCTGACACCAAATGCAGTAATTCTCCAGTAATGATTAGGTGATAGATAGAATACTAGATAATAATAGAAGAGGGCAGATTATCAAAAATATCAATTATAGAGTGTTGTTTTGAAGATATGCAAAAACTAAACATTTGCTGCAAAAAGAGCAGATTAAAAGTGAAAATTTAAATAAAATATGTCATATACTTTCAAATAGAAAGTTAAAGTGATTTCTGTTTGTCTGAACCTCAACAAATACATAAATAAAACAAAAGCAAAATTCTGTTGCAGTGGCATAATATTATTATCAAGATACTTACTAAATAGAAATATTTTTTGTTAATACACCTGACTCCTAGTAATGTTATAACCATGGCTATGTCCATTTATATACAGTCTTACGCACTATTTCCAAACAGGAAGTGCGCATGCGGCTCTTCCCTGGCTCCTATTGACTTGCACAGGAATATTGTTGCTTCTCTCTCTGTACCTGCTGTTGTGAGCCTCGTCATTTTGGTCTTAAAATGTTCGTATTAACCTGCTCATTATCTTATTTCACTATTCTGTCTGTTCTATTCATAAAATAGAGCCGGTCTTCAAACTGTCCCCTGTAATCATGAGCATCACCAGCTTCATTTGACTGAAGCTGAACGCTGTGAGTGACGTCACACTCCCTTAGTCCACTTCTTTATGGATATTACTTTTGTCTTTTCCTTATACTATATTTTCATTTTTAATTTGAGGTTTAGTAGCTTGAAAGTTATAGAGCTTGTAAACATTTAGAAAACCAGTGCACTTTTTCTTTTCATGGTTGTGAAATGTGTGACAAAAAGAAGAAACAGAATACATCAGTTAGTGATGTGTGTGCAGACCTTTGCCACTGCATAAGTTTTGCATATTCATCTGACAAAATCCAAATCTCTCTGTATGATACTTATTGCAATATTTTGGAGCAGCTAATATAACTGTTGATAGGATACTTTTTTGCTTTTAAAATACATTGACAAGAATTTGGTGCAAATCATTACTGCCATAATCCTAGGAATTCAAGTTAAAACATATTTCTTCATGTTACCTGCACTGAAATGAATCATGGAATTTGTTGTAATGTTTATCAGCTGTTACTTCTATAAAACAATGCATTAAAGCAAAGGAACTTGTGATTCAATACATTGTGACAGCTCACGATATTACTGAGAGACCTTTGACGATACGATATCATGATATTTTGGTTATCGTTTACTTTGGGATCTGTATTTAAAAGCATTTCTTGGTCATTTTTCTGTACCTCTGAGGGCTTCTGTCCCGTCCCTCTTCTGTGTTGTGACGAATGCTGTGACCAACACGTGGAGTTACCTGGACAAAAACAAATCAATACAAATAAATATTACAAAAATTATATAATTTCCTGTTCCAGCTGCAGCTACTTTAATTCACTTACACACAGATCAAATTAGGAAAATGAATCAAGCAGCTCATTAGGCTGATCTCTACTCCAGTGTGTATGACGGAGAGGGCTGGTTTGGGGCTTTTTAGAAACATGGCATAAATAATTCAAATGTTTAGCTTTATTTAATGGTGCATTGTGTAACTTTTTTGGTGGAGGGTTCATCAAATGCTTTTCTCCATGGAGATGTTGTTGCTTTGTCTGGAATGTTTCACAGTATGGCATTAAACCTTTCTATTTACATGGAGACCAACCCAGACCAAGTTACAGGTCAGATCTGTGGAGAGGCGACCCCGCTCACAGTCAGATGTCTGTTTTTCGAGGCATTTCTGAGCTGTAAATCCACCTGTACTTTAATAAATGTAAAGTAGAGCTGTTTAATGTCACACTGTGGACCATTCCAGACAGGGCAATGACATCTCCACAGAAACAAGCAGATGACAGACCCCCAATCAAAAAGTTACACAGTGCACCTTTAATGCAGCACTCTAGACATAGCTGAATGTATTGTACTGAATTTCATGCAAATTTCTATTAAATTACCTCAAATTCAAAAAGGTTCACAAAATAAAAGGCAGGTAGCAAATAAAAATCTTAAGACACATACAATAGTGAAATACAGAAAATAGCTTTTTATTTGTCAAA